CCGCTCTTCATGGACAGGGACAGTGGTGGCTGACTCCTCCAGGAACCAGGGGACTGACGTTACTACCCTAAAGCCACCATGTATTACAGATGCGTGCGCTTACATCCACGCAGCAAGAACAGCGGCAGGGAAGGATACACAGAAGGGGCCGGAAGAACCAAAGTCAGCAGTTGCCGGGCTGAGGTTATCGCAACAAAGAGAGAGAAGACCGTAACAGAAAAGGGAGCAGAAGACACTTTACCAGAGAGTACTACGTTTTGAAGGGAACAGACACCAAGGTGAGCCATACGCATCTGGACACAGACTATGCAGCAAGCTCCCAGCTTGGCGGTCTTCTGCAAGAGGCTTGTTTGGGGGAGCGAGGGATCCCTCTAAACAGGGCACACAGCGGAAACCAGAGACGCTCTGAGCACAGAGGCCAGGCATCTCCGATCCCTCTCCCCTTTCTTTGCACCAAAGGTTTGCTGCAACTTGTCGTGAACCATGGGGCAAGGACAGGCTAAAACTGAGAATGTGTTAGATAACTAGGTAACTCCAGGACGGTCAGATGCTAGATCCTGCAGGCTATGGAAGACTCCGCTGCAGGAGGCTTTTGCTCTGCCGCCTTCTTGCCCTCCAAACTCCTATGTATTTGAATTCAGGAAAGCTTTCTGGCTGCTCCAGAAAGATATAGAAGGAAAGGGACTGAAGAGAGGTAAGCTGTGGTTCATGGAGAATGAGGAGGGTTTAGGCCAGCTGATGACGACAACCAGGATCTGGAGAACTACTACAAATTGGTGACTAAAACCACAAACACTTCTAAGAGTGAGGAATCCAAGCGGGATGGGGACTCCTCCAGCTCCGTGTAAAGGTTCCCCAGCTTTTGTCCTTCTTTCCTGCTGGCTGGGAGGCTTCAAAGGAGGATTTTTGCTTTTTTGTTTTTAAAGGTGGCTGTGGGCCTCCAGACTGCACTGGAGTGAAAAGAGCGAAAAGCAATACTGAGTTACTTAATGAGTTACTACTAAGCGCAGGTCAGAGGAATTTGCTGCTGCCCAAATGAGAAGCACGTATCCACTTCTCTAGATATTAAACAAGTGAATATAATCACTCCTTTTCTGTTCAGTACCATACCTTAGACTATTACCCACTTCTAATTTACGTCATCTTACTTTGACAGAGGCAGCCCCATGAATTTCAGCGTGTGGCTCTCGGATGAATAAGGGAAGGGCTGTCTAGAACTACTTTTACTTCAGCGCCCAGAGCGGTTACAGATAACTCAGAAAAGCAAGCTGTTTGCCAATGGGCTTGACCTCACTATATACAGCTAGGCACCTCCCTTGGCAAATGTTTTGGAGCATTAGCACCCTAAAAAAAAAAAAATACTGTTCTCAGATGGCCATGTTATCTATCCACGGACATACCTTGCTCCACCCTCATCACAAAAAACTACTCCCGCCTTCCTATCTTTAGATTTTCTTGGCTGTAATTCCAACATTTAAATACACACTATGCAACTGTAACAACATAATAACGGGCCCTCTTAGAATAGCCCCGTCCCAAGATACCAGGAGAGAAGGGACTAACGTTCCTGCATTTATTGCTGTTTTTGCTGAAAGGACCCTCTCCAGCCAGTGACCTGCCAACTAAGACCGCAGCCATGGTATTGTCTTCATACCTCCTCTTCAGCTCCGTACTAAACATAGCCGCCTTGTAACATGCTTAACACAGAGCCTCACAGCTTGCCTCTTCTCAAAGCCACTTGTGTCTGCACACTTTCTAATCCTCTACTTTGCTTCCTCTGGAGTTAATACTCTGTGGCCTCTGTTCCAAAAAGGGAGGCATAGAAAACAGCTGCGGTGCCAACCAGTGGGGCTGAAAATGTGATATAATTGCTTAAATGTCTTTAAATTGCCTGCTAATTGCAACGTGATGTGGTCCTTTTGTAGGCTTCCACGAGAAGTTTTTGTACTGCAAGCGCCAGCTAACTTTTACTGGTCAGTCAATGAGTCACACTGTGGGCAGAAAATACATTTGGATCTTAACAACTAAAACTTAGCTAGCTTGATTTGCGTGTGTGATCCAAGTTAGTTTGCTGCTTAACTTTTTGGGGTCTGTTGTTTTTTTGCATTTTAAATATTGGCTATCTTGAAAAAAGGAGTTGATTACAAAAGTGGTTGTACTTCTGTAACACGTTCTTTTCCTGAGAAGAGCTAGGTTTTTGGATTTCTCATCACCTGAATGAGCAAGATCGCCCAGCCTGTTGAGAAGGACAGGGATCTCAGAGGCTGGCTGCTCAAAGGCTCCACTGTATAAGCCTCTTCTAAAAGTCTCAACTCGCATATTCAAAAAGAAGAAAAAAAAGGAAAGAATCAATAATCCCTCTCTTTGAAACCGTAATACACATTACGTCCATTAGCTTTACACTGCACACATCCATCTGCATTTCAACTCTAAGCATCACCCAGAAGGAACCTAGCATTTTCTACTGCCCACGAGCAGTCCTACCCCCCCCCACCCCCAAAATGCCTCAGATTTCATTCTTTATATTACGCGATTGGATTTTAGGCACAAACATATGACATCGGGGAGAAAAGATTAAAAAAAAAAAAAAGCAAATGTCCCCTAAAGCCTTTTTAAAGGGACTTTGGTATTAAGTACCAGTGACATATCAGCTATTATAACTGCTACTGTTTGTGTAAAATGAGCCTAGATAAAAGAGAGGTAATTAACACCTTTGTGAATATTGGCTTGTGTTCTTGCTTTCTATTCATTAATTTCCTTTTCCAACTCCTGGCCTCTAAAGTCTCCCAAAGGTAAGTATCTTTTTTATAGCAGGGACATAATACTTTTCTGGCTACGTGTTACACTGTCATGAAATCAAAGCCTTGCTGCGGCCTGCCACTCATATTTATGCAGTCCTGTGAG